GTATTTGTACAACATAATATAACAGTTTTCAAAGCGTCGACGTTGTGATACGAATGCCATCGCTCATTTACAGTGGATTTACCGAGGGTGCTAACAGTCTGACCTCAGCTACATACAGTGTAGTTTTCCTCATTGGGCCTAAAAAACCTGTGCTCGCTGTGGTTCCGGTTTCATATCGCGAAAAAATTAGGGGAGGTAGGTGGGAAAATGGTTTTGGCGTTTTTTTGCTGGGCAAATTTCTGTAGAGTCCCGACATCAATATTAACTAGAGATGCGTAGTTCTTACGGACGATTTTAGGCAATTTGGTTCAATAATTATTGTGACTACAGACGCCATTTTGGCTCGCTGTACGAGCAGCCCGCAACCACCCGGAGAAAATATGGTTGCACGGTCAATCGTGTTGAACAAAATAATAGGGTCGGCAGAAAAAAATAGGGTTGGTCGGGAACCGGAACCACAGGTATTTTTTTAGGTCTTGGTATAGCATTGACAATTAAGCCCAGGTCACACCACACCACACAACGATAACGATACGATAACTTGTAAACACGCGATGATTGGAAAAAAAATTATGTTGGTGTCCACACTACAACGAAAACGATAAAATTATCGGCGTTTGACGATAACGATTTTAAAATCGCTCACCCGAGCGATTTTTTTTCAGTCGGACGATGACGATAAATTTTTTGATCAAGCGCAAAGATAACCTTTTGGCTTTTTTCATCCCAATATGTCGGATGCGTGGAATTTACATGCATGTACAGCTAAAGTTCTTCACGGTTTTGAATACTTTGGCAGGTTTGCTAGTTATTGCTAGAAGGAAAACGTAAGTACGCGAATAGTAAATTTCCGCGTACCTACGTGGTACTTGGCTAAAAACAAAGAAGTACCAGACCATAAATTTGGCGTACCGGTACGTTGGTACGCGAATTATCGCACCCTGATTAAGTGCGTCTCGAAAACAGAGTTAATTACCCACCTTCCTAACAATCCTCTCCTAATATATATATAGATGTGTATACGCATGGCCAGCTGGTAGCACCATGCAGGACTAGTTAAATTTCTAAGAAGTAGATTGCTCGGGACGGATACAACCATTACACTTTTTGGGTTTGACTAATGTGATTGGTAAGTAAACATGTGTCTTTTTGTTTCAGGGGCTTGCTTGTTTGAGAAGGGGCTTAATAATTTTCTTTCTTTAGAAGCGGGGGAGGTGTTTATTGATAAGGGTAAAGGCTTGTAATAGAGGATTTACAGTATTCATGGACATGATGGATATTTAGAATAGAAGCTTTATTTATTTTTATACAGGAGTCACAGTCAGTAAAATACTGTTCTCCCAAGTGAACCTATCCAGTCCTTAAGGAACAATATCTATAGTCCTTTGTCTTTAAGGAACAATGTCTAGTCCTTTGTTTATAGTTCCTTCATTTCTCATCTCTACTTTTATTTCGCTTTGTTCTACTTCCTCTCCTCTCTCAGCACTGGTACTGAAGGAAACAGTCGGTATATTATTGATGGTGGAAGAACTTGACTGTTCAGCTCCATTACGTCGCTTCTTGATCTTCAAGATTTTAGTAAAAGCATTTCGAAATCTAGGGGACTGTAAAGCATAACACCAGAAATTAACGGATGAATTCATCAGCACGAAAAGGAACTGCAAGTCACGGAACCAATGAAGCTCTGTGCAGCTACAGGATTCACAGAAATTCATGATATAGATCAACAAAGTTGAAGGGCCATAACAACATAACATGGCGATGAGAACAATAATAAACATTTTAGTCACTTTCAGTTCCATTTCACGTGCGCTTGTGACGATAGAGTTGGGGGTATTTGCTGGAACCGTTGAGAAGGTGTGACCTTGGGATGGTTCTGATGTACTTGGAGAGATGGTGTAGGAAGCTTCTCTGACATTAACATTATTGGATATATTTTGGGATCTTTCTTGAACTTTTCGCAACATGAGGGTGTATGTTAGACACGTGATTGCAATGGCTACTGCAACAGCGGTGTTAGCGAATATGAATGCGTATGTAATGTACCCAACTTCAAAATATATATTCGGCAAACTCAAAGATATCAACCAAACTCCAGTGATGGTTAATATGATTCGTCTGTTGGTCACATTAGTACGATATGTGGTCGGTTTTCTTACAGCGAGGTATCGTTCAAGAGCCAAACTTGAAAGACTTAGAACAGAGGCCGTACACGAGATGAAATAACTCAAGTGAATTGCTCTGATTTCGGAAACAGATAATTTCTCCTTCAGGCCTTCTTTCATATGAATATACACTGAGATAGGGCTAGTCATCGTGCCAACAATTAAATCGGCTGCTGCCAAATTTACAACCAACCAATTAAATGGAGTTCGGAGATTCTTGTTTGGATCTAAGACAACAGCTAGAATTATGAGAATATTTCCAGGAATACTTGTGAGAGTGAAGACCATGGAAAGACTGGTTGTTATGAATGATAACTCAGTTGGAGCTCCAGTAGTCAGACATCGTTTTTCAAATACACCTTCAACCGACATTTTCAACGCTATAAATAGAAACAAAGAGAACGATATGAGCTTGTGTTTTAAATCTAAGTCTTATCTTATTCTGTGTAAAGAGAAGCTCTGAATACGCTCACACTACTTATAACCTTAACCTTACTTTTGAGTCGCAGCATTATTTATTTATTATTAATCGAATATTTAAACAGGATAAATCACTTCATTTCACTTCAGTTCAATTAAGAACTGTTATCAATGTTTGCATATCAAGTTTTTTACATTATGCTTCATTTAGTTCGATGATTTTAATTTCGACTTTGAGTTCGACAATGAGTTCGACACCAATGTTAAGTTGGACAAAACAGTCGTGCCTGTTCGCCAGGGCGCAACTTCGATTCAAACACCAAACTTATCATGAGCCGAATGCATTTGGCGAAGAAAAACCCTATCCTAAACCATTCTACCCCCTGCATCCAACAATAGTTAAGTTCGGCTTAATTAAGTTCGACTTGAATCAACCCTTTGAATTATGCCGCGATCTTTAATATAACCCCGTTTATTATATGACAAGGCGGTTCATCTGCAAAATTCAGTGTGGATTCAGCATTTTGATTGGTTCCTGAGCGGACGTTAAGTACTATTTAAGCACGCGTAGGAGTGTTTTATCAGATATAAAACGCGAGGCGCAGCCCAGCGTTTTATATCTGATAAAACACGACTACAAGTGCTTTAAAGTGGCTTAAAAAACGACCCATCTTCTGATGAGTAAATTAGGGAAGTAATTTTTAAAATAAACTTTTTCTAAACCGATAAAATCAAAGCTAAAGTTTATGTAAATTAACATGATTTTTTATCACATATAAAGATACGACACGCTTATGATTTTTCTTTGTGTTTTGCTCCTGAATAATATATTAATGCGTTTTTAACGTGCAATAGTAATACGGACCGCTATGAGGTGTTCTACTTTGTCTTTGTGTTAAAACCTTGTTTATTACATGTCTAAAAATGGTTTTTAGAACACTTGAAATGCTGGGGAGACAGAGTGCATGATATATGGCTTACTTGCTGCCATTGTCATTGAATGGCTTTTTCGGCAAACTAAAATTCCACTGAAAGCTGCTCTGCGACCTTTATTATATTATTAAAATCAGAAAGTCTGTTGTTATCGTTTTACTGTATCTTATAGTCAAAAATTGTTTACAGGAATTTAAACTGAGTTCTCTTTTTTCAAATTAAATGTTGAAACAGTGTTGTAAACAACTTAATAATAGTTGACCTGCACGGAATGATGTAATTAATTTTTATAGCTATTGTAAAATATAGCGCACTGAATTATTTGCATACAGTTTTAAATTATCATGTAAAATGTAGCTACGCGGTAAAGCAAAAAGAGGCGTAATGGATAAAGGCATGGTCATTGTGAATCTATATGCTTAACATAAATGCAATTTGTAACGTGCATGCTCTTCTTCATTTATATACCAATTATAAATGCTGCTTTTGACGAGTCCGTGGAAGAGAGCAGCCCGATTGAACGTCCTCCTGAACACATTAGGGCATCTTTTCCAATTATTTTATCAGTTAATTGCTTTGGCAGCAACCTGCACGCACAGTTCCTTACCACGAGAACGACCCTACAATTTTACTCGCGGGACCCGTGGCATATATACTAACGGCGCGGGGCCCCTTTACGCACCCCCAACGACATTTTAAACACTGAATTCAGAAAGATTCAAAAATCCTTTTGTATTTCATGAATTGAAAAGTTTCCCGTGTATAGTTTGAATATTATCGGCATTACCATTCGACTTGGATGATTAATGCCTTTGCCAATTTTATCAGCATTACCATTCAACTTGGTGGTTATGTTTTGAATATTATCAGCATAACTATTCAACTTGGATGGTTAAGTTTTGAATATTATCAGCATAACCATTCAACTTGGATGGTTATGCCTTTAAATATTATCAGCATAACCATTCAACTAGGATGGTTATGCCTTTAAATATTATCAGCATAACCATTCAACTAGGATGGTTATGCCTTTAAATATTATCCGCATAACCATTCAACTTGAGTTGTAGTGCCTTCAAATGTCATTGACATTACCATTCAACCTAATTCAAAAAGTTGATCATAACCATGGTTCAAGTTAGTAACCATGGTTCTAATAGAAAAGAGTATAAGCGCGGGGCTTGTGGCATATGCCACTTCTGCCATATGGTTAATCCGGCACTGCTTTCGAGGAGTTCTAGACTGTAGCGGTTTCACTACAACCTAACCGAATAACTAAACCATGGCATGGCAGGCAAGGGAGTTAACTATATTATTCCAGTTGATCATAACAAGTTGTTTTGCAGATCTAGCACGCACTGTCGCCACAAGGCAGTTTGGGAACTGCATGCATGCATGGTCGACAAAATCGATCGGTCAAAATAACTAATTCGCCTTTTCGACTCTAAAGACACGTGTTGCAACACGTGACCAAAAATGTAAACAAATACCACGAGTTCGGACAAGCTTAAATTGTTCGAACATACAACAGAGTATATTCAACATGGTCACTACGAAAAGATGTGCGTGGGGTACGAGTACTAAATGACTCACGTTACCCACAACGAATGATTAAGAATTCAAATGGTGACCTAGTAACGTTTTTCATTTTCCTGGGCCAAAAAAGAACGCCGAAAAGCGAATATATGAGGTGGATTGTGCATGTCGGCGCGGTGATAATTTTTAATATAACTGCACAAAGTTCAAAGACAAAGGACAGTTTATACATCTGCAAATGTTGTCGCCGATCAATGGTTGCTGATCAAATCCTTATCGAGTGTCAATTACAAAACTCAAGGCAGGAGTAACCAACGACTTGTTATTGTTGTGCTAATAATATACATGAAAAAATTTCTCAATTCTGATTGGTTAAGAGCAGTGCAATGTTTTCGAAATACAGTGCCAAAAAATGAAATACAGTGACTTTGCATTTCTACTATACATTTTCACTGACTATGCATTTCTAGCAGAAAATAATATACAAAAACATTTACAAGTAACAAAAATGGCTGGCGTTTTTAGTAGATTTTCTACTAAAATTATTTATATTAAAGGTAGGGTATTCGACAACTATTTATATTTTCATGCTTCTACAGCATATAATTAAATAAATGATCAAGATACAACAATCAGGCTTTGCAAGAACATAAAATGAAATAAAAACCTAATTAAAGTGTTGATTTCGCATGTGACCTACACACGTATGTGACCGCATAATTATTTCATGCCTACAATTTGGAAAAACATACACTCGAGAGTTTTTCAAAGATTTCGAATTGCACTCGTCCTTCGGACTTGTGCAATTTTGATCGTCTTTGAAAAACTCACTCGTGCATGTTTTTCCCAAATTGCCCACGAAACCATACCATGTCTATTACCTATAGTACCGCAAATAGTCTGCCTTTTATTTTAAGTTTCACTTAGGTCGCTTTGGGTATTAAATTTTAAGTTGCTTTTAAGTCGTTGTTAGCATATATATTTACTGATCCAACCAATCACAACTTGGACTTTTACATGAATACATCTGCATAAGGGAGCCTCAAATATAATATAATTTGTTATTTTTAATTCGTTGCATAATATCTTGACTGCGAACCCAGACGACATTTCCCACGTTTATTCTACGCCCTGAAAGTAACAACGAAGAATGAGCGTGGGAAATGACGCCTGGTTTCACAGGCTACACAATATCTGCCATCTGCCGATCTGATCTGGTGCGATTAATCGTGTACGATTCGTTTTCTGGCGTACGTCTTTGAGTAAACACGCGTAAAGCCTGGTTCACACTGCATGGTGGTAATTCGTCGGCGATCTATTGTATTCTTTTCCTACAGACAAACCATTTTACACACCAATGACCACAGACAAAGAAAATCCTGGTTCACACTGGTCGTAAGAATCCGGGATTTCAAGAATCGGGGATTTCCATTGACTGTGATCATTGGTGTGTAAAATGCTTTGTCTGTCGGAAAAGAATACAATAGATCGCCGATGAATTACGACCAGTGTGAACCAGGCTTAAGCTGGCTACATTTGAAATTTCTTTTTAACGAAACGGCAATGAATTATGGCGCCAGCACGTACTCATTCTAATATGCCAGAATACGAATCGTACACGATTAATCATAGCGTAGCGTGTAAACGTAGCTTACCATACAGGCTGCAGACGCGATTTGGCAACGCGACGCGAATTTTCAATTTTCAATGACATCTAACTTCAATATTTTTCTATGTATTTCAAATATTCGGAATCACTTAAGCAATTTTAGCTATTTGGTCTGCATATCTTGTAAAATTTTTATCCGTCGACGTTGTCGCTTTTATTTGTTTTGAAAAACTGAAAATTCGTGTCGCGTTGTCGAATCGCGTTCCGCGGTCTGTATGGACCTTTACTCAGCAAAACTATTTCTAAAAACACTTATTCTCTCGGCAACGCTCCGCCCTTCAAAGAGGCCTAGGAATGTATATGGAGCTCACTGATACAGGGTCATCTGCAAGAACTTTTGTCATTCGGCATATAGGCTAAGTTAAGATGGCAGAGTTGACGTCCAATTTCCAATCAATAGACAATACGGCTATGAAGGTAAACGTAAAAGTTTTAATACCATTTTCCCCAGCTAATTTCGTAAAACCATAGTATTATTCTTTAAATCGAAGTCAACATACCGGCGAAATTTCGGCACACTCCTTGCAGACAAAAACACTAGAAAGGGACTGAACTGACGTCCAATACTCGGTAGTTTCAACTGTCTTTGGCGTTACTTTTTGCACTCGAGTTCTCGCTCCAGATATATGTGGAGCTCAGTGCCCTACTAGAGTACACCTGCTTAACAAAATGAACAGCTGAAACAACTGCAATCAAGACTACATTGTTGCAGGAGGTTTTCTGGGTAAACAATGATTTCAGGTCAATTTTGTTTTATGTTCAACATAGTCTGTTTTGTAAAGAAGCTTATTCTTGCAATCCTGGTTCCCAGTTTTCCATAATGTATTAGGAGAGAAAAAGACATGAACTACAATATGAGCACCTGCAATATATCTCGTAAACCAAAGTCTATGAAGTCTACTAGGTCTACACGTGGTCTACATGACCTTTTATACCAAGAATATACAAGCGATCACGTGACGAAAATAAGCCAATCAGATGGAACGTATAAACCAAAATGTGCATCACATTACAGAATATATTAATACTTAATATACAGAAAAACTACAACAAATATAAAGAAATATATATGAATTAAAAGTACTGTCAATGTCTGTTTTGGACAAGCAAAGACAGTTATTAAGACAGTTAAACATAGGACTCTATCTGTCTTTGAGACTGAACCCTGGGTATGAGGTTGAAGCAGACATTGGCTTGTAATGTTGAACTTGCATCCCTACAAAAGCTTTATTATTGTTATTATTACTGGTACAGACCATTCAAGATTACAGTATACTGAAAATTGTAATGTTTGACTGATTAAATCACTTTTCTCTTCTATTTAAAAACTCCACATGGTATATTTGCAAGCAAATTAGAAAAGCATCCATTTTAAATTTTCTAATTATCTTTCTTGTTTTGTGAAATACATAAAATAACCAAGTAATGTAATATATTTATTATATACCGTAGTAGAGAATGAGATACTGAAAAATAAACAGTGAGATATTTTCCATATCTTAAGATATCAATCACATGACTTTTTCCAATTTGCTTTTGAGTGTGAAATTTCACAATTTTTTGCTTGGGACTATATAATATTAAAACAGAACATTACACGGTGGCTTGAAGATATGACTTTTATCGATCTTCTCGTGTTAAAAACAATATTTTACATATAGATATATATATAGAGGATATTACACAGTGGATATATATCCTCGTTATAGTCATTATACCTTTTTATGCCTGAGGAAGTTCTTGTTTTATTTTATTTTTTTAAAACACCATTCATATACATACATACATACATATATCTATTTATTGTCATCTAAACCTGCTAGGGTCTTGTGCAACAGACTAATCACTAGATGCATTATGATAAAGAACCATATCAGAAATTTCAGTTTTCATCTTTGAACCAATAAGTTTATGACACACACATGATTTATGCTGATTTGTTTCAATAAACTGTCCTTTGTTGAAAAACACTTTTCCATCTTTGACTAATATATTGTGAGCTATGCAAAACTCTGCTGCAAGCTCACAGGAGTCAAAATAAAAATTCTCAGCTAACAATGGTAATGGGTAACTCAAATTTTTACTGCTGAATGCAGTATTCATTATTGATAATCCTTGGCACCTTATTGGTTGAATATTACAAAATAATGCACAACTTTCCAAATATGGTAACTTGGATGCTGCTCGAAATACTCCAATGAAGTTACCATTCAGATTTAATTTTATGAGATGAATTGCAAGCTGAATCTCCTTGCATTTTCTAAGGTGGTTGTCAAGTTTCAGTATATGATGGTAGACGTTTGGAATAAGAATGTTTAGCATCAAGTCACAAGCTTGGAATGATGCCTGATTCCTGAAGGATTTGTTGTGAAGTCGATACAAATCAAGTAGTTTTTTGAGACATTCTTTTGTGTGAGAGAAATGTAACACTGGGTCATAATTCTCCAGAGGTTCTTGGCTTAATTTTACAGCCATTACCAAGTAATACCTAGTTGCTTTCTCCAAGATATCAACGGCTTCAAAATTTTGAATATTTTGTGCAGTTAGATCTTGTCTTATAGACCTAATTCTGTCAGAAATGAATTCACATTTATAATACCAAGGACTTGGTTTATTGAGGACATCTGTCAAAAGGTAATTTATGGTTTTTACCAAGACTGGTGCTGGGCGAAGATCTCGAGCATCGAGTTGTTTACCAGCTGCAGGCCTTCCGTATTCTTTTACGACAATATCGACAGACTGTTTCACGTCACTGTGTTTCACGTTTTGAACTCTTTCAAAAGGATGCAGTCTTCTTTGTTTCTCACGTAGGTTTCGCTCACGTTGAGGACACATTTCCATACATAAGCCTTGCAAAAAATTAGGCATTTTTTTCACAAGTGGCTGAATCACTGGATTCAATCTTGAAATTCGGATTCCGCGTTTGCCGCCATATTTGTTTCGCTCTGTCTCTCCACAGCAAACCCTAGAAATTTAATTTCAAAAAGCTGGAGACGACCAGATTGAACATAATGATTTTTGAGACGTTCTCTGGTTTCTCTGGTTGGAATTATGGAAATATTTATTTATTACGAGCTTTCGGCTGCCAGACTGCAGCCCCCAAAGTTATAAAATACAATGATTACAGACGACTACGGTTTACAATTACAGAGTAGGCTGCGGTTAACAATTACAGTGACAAACAAATAACTTGAAGTGATAGTTCCGCCAATATATTACTAAGCCCCGTTTACACTACGCTCAATTTTTGGTATACCACTTTTTTACCTAAATAGGTAGTCCAAGAACCAAAAAAGTGGCACGGGTACCAATTTTATCCGTGCCGTACCAAAAATTGAGCGTAGTGTAAACGGAGCTTTAATATGTCTATGAACTCTAATAATTGTTCTGTTTCTTCAATAAAAAACGGTATTGTTCTGGTATTGTTTACAATTATTGTCACCATTAAGGTGGCTCCCTACAGTTATTCTTGTTTAAGCAATAATTCCGTAAAACAGGCTTATTCGTGCAGAACGCGAATTCTTTTCGACTTGGTGGCAATATTGGTCACCTAAGGAATATTCTGAAATAGATTTTGACGATGTCAATGTTCCCATGGCAACATGACGACAGCATAAAGCCTTCCAATTTAACCCATAAATGTGCCGCTATCTCAAAAACGATGTCGGTGACCTATCTTTTTTATTTCATATATCAATAAGGAATGATGCTCTGCAACTGTGGTGAAAGTTTAAAAAAATTCTGTAGTGTGTGATTTTTTTAAAAGCGAAAAATTTATTGCGAAATTTCCACACTACAGATTTCTTTAAAATTTGAAATTTATAAAATTTACCGCAGAATAAACTCGTGGTCAAAATTTGAAGATAGGTCACCGATGAAACTAATGAGTAAAATGCAAATAAAGTTAGAAAATAGCCTCGTGTAACTCGAGAAATTCCCCTATTGAAAAGCGTCGCTGACTAGTAAAAGATTATACGCGGGCGCAGAACGAGTTTTCATTCAGCAAAATCGAGCCGCAATGTTGTTTTTACTGTTTTGTTTTTGTCAACTTTTGGATTTATTTGAGTGCTATGGACAGCCAAGGATTATTGTGAAGGATTAAATCGATGAAAACAAGGTTGAAGCTAATTGAATGCTGCCGATTACTCAATCTATGAGCTGTAACAGCCTATTAACAGGTGGACGTGTTTTTTTGTTTCATGTTTGGTTTTGTACTTTTTGCTAAAAATGAACAATTAGGCTATGAAACTGAAATATTTTTCTGTTTACATATAATCACTTTAATCTTGTAGAAACACGACTAAAAACGTGAACGTTTTCTTGAGAAGTAAACAACTTTGTAAACGTTTGTATGCAATTTTGCAAATGTTTTAATACAGTTGAGTCAGCGGACAGTGTATAAAAAAATTTAAAAATATTGTTTCGTAGCTATTTTTTGGTCTACTGATACTCGTATCATATGTAGAAGTGCTGTATAGACTCGCAAGTGATTTGGCACTCAAAACGAAGTATTATTCAACGCTTTTTTCCATTGTCAATTTTTGTTTTGTTTTGATCATGCAGTTGCGTGGGATAGTTCACGTACTTGTCCCGCGAACATCCCGCACGGAACTGTAGGGAGCCTCCTTAACTGTGAGCGCGGTGTGCCAGGATTCCATTTTAACTCATTAACGCCCAATGCGCCCGTATGCGCCCTGAGGGAGCTTTAGATTTGACTACGAGTACGACTACGAGTACGAGATTCGTCAAGCTAAACGCATGCTGTATGCTTACGCCATCCCGTACTGACGCTAAAAAGTCGTAGCCGTCGCCCATCTGAGTACGAAATTGTGGAGAAACCTCGTAGTCCTCACGACGACTTTTCAAAAAAACAAAGAAAGTTGGCTTTTTTTTGTTTTCCAAAAATAATTTGTAGCATTTATATAGCGTTTATCCGGCGCAAATAATATATTAGTACTAAATATCTGGCCTGTTTTTGATTTTATGACTTATTTGCAAGTTTTGTAGGGGATTTTAGTCAGAAGGAGATTTAGTTTATGAAACTTTTTCTCTCGTTGTTGATTTACTGTTATAAAAGCAACATTTGAATGGAAACGAGAACGACTACGGTGACTTCCTCGCACGCGTCAAATCTCGTACTCGTAGTCGTACTCGTAGTCAAATCTAAAGCTCCCTATTATGCGCCCGAATGCGCCCTGGCACGACACCTTAACTTGCGGGCATGATATTTGAGCACGTGTTTATCGGGTTGCCTAGCAACGAATACGAAAATAGAACGTGAAATTCGAGCTTTTCAACGGTGTATCATGCAAGAAAATCGGTCAGAAACTCGCAAAGTTTTTCAAGTTTAAAATCTTAGTTTTCCAAAAATAATGAATAATGGCGATTCTGTTACAAAAGAAGATTTTACAGCAAGTTTTAAAAGCAAGAAAAGAAGAGGTTTCTGAATCAACTACAACGAAAATTTGGCATGAAAGGAAAGCGAATGTATTGACGTTTTGGGGCCAAGTTTTTCTGTGAACCATGCGCGAGATTTTCAGCCAAAAAGATGAGGATTTCTCCAAACTTTATTAAAAATAGAAGTCGGAAATCACAAGAAAGATGAACACGGAACACAAGTGAGCAGATACGATTTTTAAAAGGGTATTTTTGAGTAGAAATATGCGATCAAACACTCACAAAATTCGACTGCATTAATGTTGGTTGAATCTAGTTTAAAGTTATCTTTTTAGACGAACTGTTTATGCAAATTTGGGCACAATTTCGACTGTTTTCGTAACCCCATTGTTGGTCTTCTTGTTCAAGTTGTTATTTTAGCTAAAGTATGTTTCAAACGACACCAGATTAAATTACTGTGTGCGTACGTGCCCTATTTGGCAAGAATACTTCGAGTATTAAATTACACTAAGTAAGTAGGGTACTCCAAAATCACTGTTATATCTATTTTCATCAATTTAGTCTTAAAATGACAACTCGTTTCAGACATATTGTGGTTTGAAATAAGTGTATTGAATTAATACGCTTGCTTGCCGCGTGCGAATTCTCAAAAAGTCCGCACTTGAGTTCTAAAGCTTTTAAAATGCTTTTTGTATTGGGTTTTATATCCCCATAAAACTTTAAATCGATAAGGCAGATAGTAATGTTGCTCCAACCTCATTTTCTAGTAACTACATGTTGAATCAGAAGGAAAAGTTATCAAAATTTGGTCGCGACGGTTGTTTGCCGTTGTTGTCGCTTCTCTCTGAAATGGCTTCCTTTGCGGGAAGCCATGAAACTGAAGTCCCAACAAAAACATAATTTAGCCGTCCTTTCGGGCCCATTGCTCGCTTATTTATCATGAAATCGTTTCACTAGAACATTTTTAATAATGTCTATGGGAAACTTTGTAATTTTCTGAACTAAAGGTTTATGGTTTTGAGGTGTTTATTTTATAAAATAGCACGCGCGACAAAATGGCACTAATGTGGTTTCTCATGTCTGACAAACAACCGAAGATGAAAGTCCTTATTTCACCCTTTTATAGCTATGTTGAATACCTGACTATTTGGTTATCTTTTTCATTTGAGCATACAGATAACATTTCTACACAATTAGTCCTAATGAAAGCTTATTTCAAACTAAAAAAAAGCGATTGTTTTTCAGAGCCAGACTTCAAAAGAGAACGCGTGTCTGACATTTTATAGCAGCCAACATTGGCGCGCAAAATAATTTTGGCTAAAAACCGTTTCTTTCCAAACAGAAACATGCATACCTAATTTTAGTGTGCAGTGATAACCAATTTGTGCAGTGATAAAAGTAAAATGTGCAGTGATAAAATGTAAAATGTGCAGTGATAAAATTTGCTTTGATAAGTTGCTAATTAACACAAGAGAATGATTTAATTGAAATTGAAATGATGACTGCCAAATTATCGAATTAAATAATAGTATATGTTTTTTGTACGAAAATCATGAGATTCAGGCAATTTTTAGTTAATATCTGGCTTTTGGTATGTCCGGAAAAAATTTTTGACCCTTAAAATGGTACACTGACCAAAATTTTTTTGGCGACGGGGGGGTGGGGGGGGGGTTAGGTCGCCAAAAATTTCCGAATATTCGGAAATTTTCTTAGTCACTCGGAAATTTTTGGCATAAAATGTGCAGTGATAAAAAATTCTTAAAATTAGGTATGGAAACATGAGAAAATTGAGCTAAAAGGCTTACCTGATGTATGTTTAAAATGTTTTTCTCTTTATGGTGTTTTTCAGTGCTTTGAGTAGAGAAGTGAATAACTTTTGGTTTTGTCACCGCAATTTGCCTTTGAAAATGTCGGCTGTCATTGTCTGTGTTAAAAACACCTCAGAAAATTCCTATTTTCTCACCTTCCCATCCTTGGTTTATATTGAAAACAAATAGATTCTAGTACCGTATGTCCTTTTAAATATATTTGGGGTAATTAAAAACTCCAAAGATGTACAAGCACTGTGTTTTGGCTTGCACACTTTGTTGAATTTTAACACTTAGTTACTGTTCTAAATTTCATGTTGTAAACATCTTGCCCAAAAAAGCAAAGGAGTATTTTTTATAATTTTTGATCATTTTCTAATTCATATCCCAATAGATGAAAACTGGTTATAATATAGATATGTACTAATTTAGTAAATAATTTTTTTTTTGGTATTTATATAAATATATGGAGATATTGCCCCTTTAGGTGATGAGTGACATGAAAAAAATAGTGTCACTGGTTTACAAATAAAAATTCTCATTGAAAAAACTAATGATATATATATAGGTATGCAAGTTCATTTAAACTAAATTTGGTCAATCATATATTAATAATATTTGGTTGAAAAGACCAGATTTTTTCATGCAACTGTTTCTGAGATATTGCCATTTTGGTGAAAGCTCTTGAATTCAGTCACGTATTCGCCATATTGCTTGCACGTTAGGGGGGTAGAAACATTGTAACAGCTTGGGCGTTAATGAGTTAAATATGTTTGAAGCGAAACCAGGATTATTC